GAGAACAAGCTGCTCTGTTCTTCCATACTCTCACCTTTTTCTAAGATGTGTTTCCATTTGGTCATGTTTGTTAGAAAATAAAATCCAAGACAGATTGTACTCTCACCTTTTTCTAAAATGTATTTCTATTTGGTCATGTTAGAAAATAAAATCCAAGACAGATTTTTGAAACAAAGACTCAGGAGGATAGTGGTAAAGCCCTGATCTGCAGAGTGGGAGATCTGAGTTTAACGCATCATGCATTCATGGCTGTAAAGAATACATTTTTTTAATCAAGAAATGTTTGATTTATACAAAATGGAACAGCTGCAGCAGAAGAGAGTGCAAGAAAGTGAGAGAGAAGCCACACTTACCAGCTAGTAGTTAGGAATCTTACAAGGAGGTCTGATTGCCTGAGCAAGCATCTAGCCCAGGACTATTTAATAGTCTGATGAGGTTGCTGTACTTTTTGTGCAAAACATTTTTCAAGGTTTAGTTCTGTTTTAGTGCAGACTATAAACAAATGGAACCTCTCCAAATTGCATGAAATGGAGTGCTTGTTTTCTGTCCAGGACTAATCACTATGCCGCTCGCATACTCGGAAGGGAAGCATCCAGCAGGCTCCCATCCCACGGATGCAGCTAAGGAAAAAGGTCGATACAGGCAGGGGCTCTAAACTGGAGACAAGGGAGTGTGTAAATTTCAAAATTACCCCTAGAACAACCAGAGGGGGTAGTTTAGCCACTTGGAAGGGATCCATGTGAAGGTTCAGAAGTTTAGTTTAGCTTGAAAACCATTTGTTGAAAAACAAGATAAAGATCAGATTGAACGATAAAGATCTGGTCGACACCTACGTAAAATACACTTTCCTGCATTTAAATATTTGTCCAGGATTTGATGATGTGACTTCCAGGTTTGTTGAATAATTTTTTTTTTTTTGCATGATAAATGCCATATACTTTGCTTGTCATTGCTCTTCCTTCTTTTATATTATCCCAGCAGATATTTATTTAACCTTATGCAACTGGGCAGTGGTGAGAGGGGAATTTCGAAGTTAAAGCCCCGGGTATTCACCCTGCCTTCAGGAAGCAGCAACTCAGGATTTATTGGCATCTCTCATTGAAACACAGGGAAAAGTAAGAACAAAGGACAATATATGCTGGCCTGTCCCTCTGGTTGGGATTTGAGGTTGCATGGCTGAAAATACCTTGTCTCTAGCATTCACCTAGTTTGGTGGTCTAGTTTGACCAAGCTTTTGAGCTGTTTTCTGCAGTACCTGACATCCTTAATTAATTACTCATCCAAGCAGCAGTTTGCACATGGTATGGGACGATATCAAACGTAATCAGGAAGAGATGTACAGGCAAATGCAATTACTGGATAAACAAATACTGTTTCTTAGTTAACTATTGTAATATATACAGTGCAGCTCAAGTTAATCCAGACATCCAAGTCCGGAGGACACCTCTCCCTGCACTTGGGGGACTTCCATGCTCACACAGTTTATGTAGTGCGGGGCTATGCCTGGTCCAATGATCACAAATAAAGCACTAATTATTTAAGTCCCTATACTTCTATGAAATATGTATTATTCAAAATAATTTTCTGCTTCATTTTCCTCCTATAAAAGCCCTCTACCTGCCCGCCTGCATCCGAGCAGCACTGCTGCAGTGGCAGAAGTGGGTCAGCTGCCTGCAAAATTTGGCAGATTTTCTAGCTCCCAAATAAAAGGTCAAGTAAATTGGCTCAAGCTGGCCTGAAGCTGGAATTAGTAAAAACCTGAAAACCCAAAAAGCACTTGTAAACTGCCTGAGCCACCCTAAAATTTGCCTACAGTAAGATAGTGGGACTCACCAAGATGAGCTATTTTATTTTAAACTAAATTACTCTGCTTAAAGCACCCTTCTTCCAATTTACACTCTATTGTTGAAGCAGAATACACGAGAATTGTTTCTAGCAAATCCAATTAAAAAGAAAGCCACCAAAAGGGACAGCTCTGAGCTGTGAGTGTTAGGTAACTCCTTGTGGTTTCAGTGGAAGTTTCCTTACATCGGAGACAGCTGACAGGACACAGTCACGTCTGCCGGGATCACACCAAGACCAATATGACAAAAATAAACACCAGCAGGATAAAAAGGGCAGAGAGGTGAACAAGCTGTCCTTGCTTTATTCTCGCAGATTCTCACTCCAGGGCAATGAAGAGCTCCCATTTAGAAGTAAACAGAGTGGGTGTGAGCACATGCTTAAGTGCACGCTGAACAAAATGAATTACTCTGAATTACTGGAAGTCATGACACAGAAAAAAGCAGGTTAGTAAATGGAGAGATTATATTTATTTCTATGTAGGAATGAAAAACATGATATAATTAAGTGGTCTGTGAAATGGGCGAAGAGATGGAGAGATTATATTTATTTCTAGGTAGGAATGAAAAACATGACATAATTGAGTTATTAAGTGGTCTGTGAAATGGGCGAAGATAGGAAATACTAGCCGAGTAACAGCATACATGGAAAGCACTAGTAAAGTCCGTGTACACGATGCTTTTATTCACAATAAGTAGTTGGGTATGAACAGATCTAAAGTGCGGCACCAAACTAGATCCAAGATGAAACTATATTCATAATGTTTTAATATTTGTCCTTTTTTGCCCCTTGGAATTCAGTTCTCGAGATAGCTGGTTTTGTGCTTCTAGTACAAGGATGAACAACTGAAAACTGTTGAACTCCCCTGTTGAATATTACTAGGCTTGCATGAATTTACTGGCAAGGGCAGATGTCTTTTATGCCTTATGTTTTATCAAAATTTGTCTAGTCCAGCTGGTTAGTCACGGCTGTTACATGAGGCACTGCTAACAGTTTACCAGTGTAAATATGAATATACCTATTTGATTCACGCTGCATTCCTGTAAAATACATGTGTAAGTACTGCAATTCATGCACTTTTTACGTAGAGAAAGAAAGAAAGAGAGAGAGGACTCCCTTGTTCCCAACTGTTTACCTGCCTCTCCCTCCCTCAGGGAGTAACAAATAACCTTGTTCACTCTGCCTCCCTTTGCTAACACTTTTTTTTTCTGCCCTTCTCCTTCATAGATGCCCAGCCCACTATCCTTTCCCACTGATTAAAATGATTACATTAAACTCAGAACAACTGGCTCATTCTTAGCTTGAAATGTGCTGCCTTTAAGATCCAAAGTATCTAATAGTTTGTCTGCTTTTTTTTCCCCAGCTATACTAGTTGGGCAACTAAAAAGTATTTTCCTTCTTCTGCAGATCTTCCCAAGCTTTTACAGAAAAATTGAAACTTTACTCAAAGGATATTGGAAAACAACACCAAACACCCTATTGTCTTTGCTACTTTGCTGAAGTAATGGGAAGGAAGGCAAGAATATTAAAAAGTAAATACTGCAAGAGTTTTCAGAGTATGTTGAGTGGAATATGAGTTTGTGCAGTAAAAATATCCTCGATTATTTTGAACTATATCTGTCCTCCTTTTATAGATATTTTATAGGGTTTACAAAACAGAATTATTTATCACCTCTAGGTCAAAATTTTTTGGTTCTAATCACCTGAAATGTGGCTGTGTTGCAAACAGTGACCTCTCCTCTTATTCTGGCAGTTGCTGTTAAGGATAGAGTCAAGCAATAAAAAGGAGGATTCTGCTGAAGGGCTCCTCAAGGCCTAGCGTTACGGAAGGGCTACGGGACAGTTCTCATGCATATCACAGAGCAGCTTTTCAAGGTGTAGAGCTTCTGATATCAGCACTTCTGCAGCTCTCCAAGGTGCACACAAAAAACCTTTGAACTTACGCCCCAATCCAACTGCAACACAGGCAAATACAAGTAGGTACATATTTAAAGGGATTTATATCTGAACTGATTTAAAGATTATTATAGGAAAGGACATCAGAAAAATAAACAATAACATTTATCTGATATTCGTTCTCTCCAACATGCAATATGATATAGTTTTACCAGAGACTGAAAGGATATAAATCTACTATGAAGTCTTAAACCAGAAACACTGAGATAAACAGGAATATTCTCCAGCAGTTTCCTGACAATCAGATAGATAATACACAAATAAATACTGAAGAAGCTAACTTGAATGTACAATCAAACTGTAATTTAAACATATCTTCTAGAAGAGCAAATAGTTTTGTCTTTTGATTTTTTAAGATTTATGTGCTATCTTGAAGGCTGAGTAGCTTGCTCACTTAGATGAAGACGTGCCTGGATTACTTAGATAACTGAGAGCAGGAACTCAAGAGACCTTTAAGGTGGTAGTTGCTCTCTTCTGAATACATTCTGAAATATGTCATATGAGTTATGTGAAAGCAGACAGCTGGCTGACTTGGCAGGTTCCTGCTGGAATTTGATATGCCACAAAGCTACTCATCTCATCATAGCAGAAAATCTGAGGAACTTTGAAGACCTGGTGCCCAGGATATAGACAGTTGAGGAATAGCTGTGTGGATGGCAGAGCAATTGGCTGTATATGGCAAAATATCATATGCAAGAAAGGATCTCAGTGTACAGCAGTTCAGGTAAGTTTGTCTAAAATACCACATTACTTTTGAAAATAATTGTTTGTTTTGCCACTGTTTCAGCTGCTGTATTGCTTTTTGTACCGAGCATCTAAGTTCTCTCTCATCTGAATTCATATTCCACTTTTTTTTTTTTCCCCTCTGAAACTGGATAATCAAACACTTAGTTTTCCAGGCCAAAATGCTAGGGTTGTTAAGCACAAGGAATGTGTTTGGGAGATGTATAATGGGCATAATATGGCTTTTCTTGATGCAATATATGAACAAAGAGACTGTATTATTCTCAATGGAATTCTGGTGAATTTAGCAGTAGGAAATTACAAAAGATTCCTCCTATTCAGGAAAATTGAAATGAAGAGCGAGGCTTTATAGAAGCAATAGAATATTTCATTAAACTATTAATAGTTGATACATAGATAAAAATATGCAAGTTTGCCAGTCCAGAGCTATGTGAAACTGCAATTATAAACTGATTTATACCAAACTGAAGCAAATAGAACATTTGCATTCAGTTGATTAACTTAATACACTAGAGCAGATCTGAACAAAAGGCCTACAAAAGTAACAAACATGAGCTTGTTCCAGCTGCCTCCTCTGTCTGAAGATATAGGTCCTCTTTGTGCTGCTGGTGCAGATCTAAAGAAAAGAAAACAAACAGGATGTTCACAGCACAGAGCTGAGTTGAGATTCTTTTAAATATCAGAAGTTTGTAGCCAAGGCTGAATTTTGCAGTCCAAGTGCTAGGTTAGAAGTTTCTTAACAAAACTTCAGTGGATTACCAATTGTGCCATGATTTTATAAACAGGATAGCTGTGTGTAAAACTGTGGGTACAACCTTCGCTATCCCACTGAGCAAGACTCTTCCCCTCCTCGTCTGTACTACCCAGTACTCCTTGTCTTTCCATGTCCATGTAGCACCTCTTGCCTTATATTGAGGTGACTGTATAAAGCCTCTTCTGGGCAGCAGTGGTCCTATGGGTCTGTATTTTTACAGTGCTTGAAACAATAGGATCCAGATGGATCACCAGGTGTGCCTCACATTGCAGTAATTTCTGTGAAAAATACCACCACTAGCAGGTTGTGCCTCTGTTCCTTTTGGCTTGTGTTTGCATGCCATCTAGTGGGTACACTTCTACATACATGCTTTCTTTAAACGGCAAGTGTCGAGTCTTAAATTTCGGCTCAGAAGGAGCATAGCTCAAGTCTGGGGAAGAGTAAAGGGACATTACATCCACCCCCAAAGCCCAAAGAATATTACAGCACCCTCTAGGCCACCCCTCTTCATCCCCTTCTTCTGCAGGCCTATGTAACAGGACTTGCAACGACAGAAGTGTCACCCGCACAGCTCTGTGGGCTGACAAGCCAGCCATGAGTCTCACAACAGCAAACAGCCACTGCGCGAGGGGATGCAATGAAGCCTGGATGCCACGTCTCAGTATTTAGTATGGGAGTATGCAAAATGTAGCTTAAGGACACTAATGAATACACATAGTGCACCAGGTGCCTTTTCTGAACTGATATATGTTGTTAACAGTGATACCGCGACTGACCAAATTGTCCCCGGGTCAGTTAATGGACCATCAGAGAGCTGGGATCCATCCACAGAGAAAACAGATCTAGAAAATAATCATCAAATAATTTATATACATCTGCTTAAGGCTCTTTTTTTTCAGGAAAGCTAAATTCAATGCAGATAGATACTATTCGTTGCAGAGGTGTAAGCGTGAAAAGGGTGTAAGTATTCATTTGCATTAAGTATTTTAGTGACTTAAATTTTGGGAAAAAGCAATGATATTTAGCATGCAGATTAAGAAGCTCTCTGTCTTGACTGGGGATAGCATAGATATGAAGAGTATTAAGCTAATTACACTGCCATGCACACGAAAGGGAATAGATGGTTCAGGGAGGGAAGAAGCAATGAAAATTCTCCTGAGGAAAATGATACCAGCTAAGTCACTTCTTAGTAATCACCCAATAATTACATAGTATGAGACTGGTTTTTGGAATACTCTACTGATTATGATCATGTAAGAACTGGCATGGTTGGAAGGGATGAAGTGGCTGCTTATGTACTGTAAGGACTGGGTCGTTGTACTGGAGAACTGCTACACTCATCCCTTAAGTGAAAGGAGCAAGACATTGATGTTTTCCAAAAGGTTTCTCATCAAGATTTCCTCTGCTGGGAATGTACACACATCACAAGACTCTGAGGGAAATAGTTTAAAACATGGGAGAGAAACCTTCCATTAAGAATTCACAATATCGTAGTTTTCGAAGTCTTGTAAAATACTCTTTCCTCCAGTTTCCTAATATTGTCACCATGTTCATAGCTGTGGTTTCACATGGCACAACTGGATTTTCCTTTGATATATCTGAACAGAAACTTTACCATTCACTGGCAGGACAAGGAAACTCTATTTTAACCCACCATGTGAGTGGTAAGTGGTAACAAACAAATGCCTTAACAGGCCTGCAGCAGGCTGAGTCTATGGTCTATGACCTAAAAGAAACTATCAGTAATCTCTAAAATGCAAATGTTTTCATCAAGTGATTATAAATTGGTGCCAAGATAAAGGAATAAATGTTGTCACATGCCAAGATGAGAAAAAGATACCAGTGACCAGAGGGAACAGGGCATGCACATCCTCTCTGTGGTGTCTTAAAAACTACAACTATGCTACAGAGAGAAATTCACCTTCTTTTCTGTGCTCAGAGAAGCTCTACTGCTAGAACATCTCCGTTTGGAGGCAGGCAGAGTGCACCCAAAGCTGCAGGCAGCGGCAGCATCGCTGTGCAGCCTAAGCACACGAGGCTTCTCACAGCAGCAGATGCAGCAGAATTATCACAGGGGTCTTTAGGCACTTTAATTAGGGCAGAAAGGACATGCAGAAATAGGATGTGGCCAAGTGCATGGGTTACAAATGAAAGCAAATCTAATGTACAACTTCTCTGCATTCAAGTATCTTTCATCTTTCCAAACTGTGAGGAAGTTTTCATATTCAGATATTCAAAGATCTCAGGTGACAGGACATATAGACATATGATATACAGAATAGGAAAAAAGCACAAGGGAACACTGTCAACTTTTCTCCAAGTTCCCTGAAATGTATCACAAACAAATTTAGCCTTTTTATGTATTAAATAAAAATAGTCATAGGAAGGGAGAGTATTAAAATCTAGTTCTGGAGTGCTGATCACTAATTTAATCTTGGATATGATCTACATTCCCTGCATATGGCCTACTGGCAGATATATTAGATATATGTAAATTAAATATTTATTAATACACACATTAAAATACCAAAGTTGAGTTTGCAAACAAAATGGAGAATAAGAAAAAGCTTCCTCAAGATTTGGAACAGGAAGCTGCAGTATCCAGAGACATGTTCTACGGACCTGTTGTCATTTGATTTATCACTTCATTATTCACAGAAGAATATTAATGAAAATATTTTTGAATTTGTGATAGATTTTGCATCAGAACAGCAATAATTACAAACTTCGCATGATCACTAATGTACTGTGTGATTGTGTGATCAATGAGAACTGCTCTACATCTAAATTTGAACAGCAGGAAATCACAGGTAATTGTGCACAACTTGTAAATAGTGATTATTTACTCAAAACAGTAAAAAATAAAGTCAAAAATACTGTACATTGCTTGTGGATGACATACAATGGATGATACAGGTGGAATCTGCTGAATTGTTAACTTGTGTATTATCGACTTGGTTCTAATGACACTGAGGGTGGTTTGAACCTTTTTTACTTACGATGAAAAAGCACACTTAGAATGATCAGGATGATCCACGCAGAGTAAGAACATTACAGGCCTGTGAAGAGATTATTTTATTTAGCATCTTTAATTTAGAAAACCGAGGAAAACAAAAAAACAGACAAACAAAAAAGAAATGAAACAGATTCAGCAGTATTATCAGAAGTCTAAAACCTCCTTTTAATGTCATGCATCTTAGAATTTATTGTGAATAATTACAACAATCTTAAGTAACTGTGCAGACATTCAACAGTATTTTTAACTACTGTTTAGATTTTTCATCCAAATAAGAATTTTACAGTGAAGTGGAATGCATGATGCCAGCCCCTGTGTCTGGCAGCACTGCATTACACAATTAGTGTTTCGTGTGTGTTTCGCTCAATTTATGGCAGAAGTGTAAGACTTGAAAATGTGAGACCACCCCTCCATGATATCAATACAATGCGTCCTGAAGACACAACATTAACAGCACTCAAATATTGGAAGGTAAGAAATAATTTATAATTGAATGAGTTCTGCAAATATATTTATGAAGGGTTTTCACTTACTTATAATCGTCAGTGCAGGTGACATCATATCCAAGGGTTTTTAGTCTGTCCTCTAATATCTTTACAGTATGAATTCCACAGGAATCGCTACAAGAAATGATTTTAACGTTATTGCAAGCCTTCTGTTACTTGTTTCCTTTCAATTAACTTGAAGGGAGTAATAAATAAACTTGGCGTTACTTAGTCCCTTGCATATTCACTAACACCTACAGAAAACTGTACGTTGCTTTCTATAATACTTCTTTTGCTTATGGTTGTGTAAGTTTGCAGAGATTGGAATATTGGGCTATATAGCATTTGTGGATTCTTCTAACCAAGATTACAATTTTTAAGATTTCATTGCAAAAATGAACTAAACCATTCAGTAAAATAATAAATAAAACTTTTACTTGTAACATTCATGGGCCGTTTTTTAGACAGTGCTAAGGTTGATGCTCACCGTGTTTATGGAATAAGATGAATTGGAATTATTTTTCCTGTGGGAAAGAAAACTTGAATTTCTACTACTTTCTTGAATATAGAACACTGCAACTACACAAGGAGACAGAAAAGAATAGGCACAGTGCTAAATGCAGCTTTTGTGTCTACCATTATTTATTTGTAGTCTAATTAGCAAATAAAGCTTGCTATATTACAGAACCTATTAAGACCTCTCAGACTTGCAGCAATATCAAGTTTTAAAGTCAGTGTAACTCGCCTGTTGCTCAGTAAGTACTAGTGGCTTTAAAGAAATCACATGGGAGTCAACAAAACCATTGTATAAAAAAATACACATTTTCCCATGCTCCAGAGAAATAAAAAATGAAAGGTAAATTAACATTCAAAGTTTGTTTTATTTTTCCTTTGTAATAATGAACTTTGCAATGGTGACCTATCTATATATATATGTTTTTCCACAAAAACGTATGGTTCTTTTGTTTAAAAGCCAGGCTGACAAACACTAATCTGAAACATGCTTGTAATTGCTTTTCTTGTTATAAGCTCCATAGTACTACGTAAAATATGTTGTCTGGGTAGGCCATGCCAAACTTCAATAAAAAAGAAGCAACAGAGGGTAAAAAGGAGATGAGAAGAAATCTGAAAAAGAAATGGCACAAAATAAACAGACGCAACCAGAAAATGTGAGTAACAAGAACTGAAGCCTTGCACTCCTAGGAATCCAGATGGTACAAAGATTTACCCACCAGTGGTGGATATGGTGACATCTGGGTCTTCTTCTTTGGCCCTCTTTTGTTAGAAAAAGTTTTAAGACCAACGAAAAGCCACAGTATGATACATTAAAGTGCAGGGAATCCAGAGCTGATTGGGGTAAAACTTACTTCCTCTTCTCTTCTAGCGTATATTTGTACAGCTCCCACAAAAGTAGTAGTAAATAGACTATTTCATTCTTGTTTTATTCAGTCCTAAATCATTCCTAATGTCTGAATATTTTTTTCCGTTAATTTTGGAGTCCATTTTCCACCATGTTTCGGGCTAAAACTTTCACTTGGTCTTTGTTTATTCATCAGTGAACTCTTCTCCTTGGACTAATCTTGTTTTTGTTTGTTTGTTTGCTTTTCTCTTTACTGTGTGTAAATGTTATGTCTTTTCAAGCTATTCTCAACAATTAAATTAATAGCAGGATTAGATCTGCTAAGTCTCCTCTTTGTTGTTGGATTGCCTTTAAGCATGGAGAGAAGAGCCCTCTTGTGGCATTTCATGCCAGCTATTTCCAGAGCTATTAAGATGCGTAAAAAATGAAAAGAATGTATTTGACAAGGCAAAACAAATATGTCTCATGTCAGGATTTATTCCAAAATTCACATTGTCCCTTGGTGGCTTCGTAGCGAAACTGGACATGCTCTATCCTCATTCAAGGTCTGAATTCCACACACACATATATCTCAAAGTGGATTCCAAGCCTAATACAGAATGTATTTTTATTTTGTCTAATTCTGGTATTTACATATTCTTTGGGAATGGCAGAATTGTGCCATGTGGGTTATGAAAGATTGGAAATATTTTCAGATTACTATCTATTAATAATCAAAAGTAAGATAAAATGTTAAAGACAAGTTTGAAAATGACAAATCTTTTTTTTTTTTTTTCCCAAGATCAAACTTACCCATCAGGTCCTTCAATATCATCTACAACCCAGATGACAATTTTTGAAATTTTGTCTTTCTGGAGATTGGGTATTTCATAATCTGCAAAAAAACTGATTCAAAAAACAAATAGTTATAACTATAAAAAATCTTTTCAGTAATAAGGGCTTTGATCCTGCTGTAAGATAAGGGCTTGTTTATTTTTACTATGTATCTTCTGATCACAATCAGATTTAACAGAATAGAAAAAAAAATCTGATTCACAGGGAGTGAAGATTCTCTGTGCACAGAGATGGACCCTTCAGGGAAAGGAGGTAAGTAGATAGTATATGTTTTGAAACAGAGGTAGCTCTTACGAACTTTTCTTTTCCCTCCCATCTGGTGCTAAAATGGCCAGTGATTTTCAGTGATTATTTTCAGTCATTGGTGAGCAAACTGGAGCAGGATCTATTTTATTTTATTTATTTACTTTGATTCTTTTGAATAAGACAATGGCTGAAGTAAGGAAAGATGTGAATATTCTCATCGAAGGGAGGTACAATGGCCACATACTCTGTAATAACTCTTAAGGGCAAGGAGTAACTTTCAAATAAATCTTTAATACAAATTTAGATGAACTGCTGCATAGCAATACACTTGTAAATCATAGAAAATACATTAGTTCTTAACTTAAGGAGAGAATAAGGAAAAAAGGGAGCTAATCCTTGCTCTTAATGAGGTTTTTTTTTCTCTCTCACAGCAGAACAGTTTTCAAAATACCTCTTGAGCACAAAGAAACAATAGGACCCAAACCTTTTTCTATAGAAAATATGTAGCTCCTAGACCTAACAGAGGCTATAACTCCAGTAACAATGTCCTCTCCTAGAGAAGAACCTTTAGTAGAAATTTGTAACTATTGTCTTCTTGAAGACAGTCACAAATATTTTGCCATAGTATTAGAGATGACTTGAAGAAGGCTTTCAAAGGTCATTTATCTTACTTAGCACAGCAGTTTCTAAAACACCTACAGGAGTCAGAGCACTGTTTTCATCCATTTCAAGCTAATTCCTAGAGATGAAGGTACTCCCCACAGATCTTGATAGACCTTGATGCAAAAGGGACTTTCACTTACAGGATTCTGCTGCTTGGTGTCGCAAAAGATCTTTTTTTTTTTCAGGCATCAGACTTTGAACACATTATTAAGTTAGTTTTCTTACCCTTTGACTGGATAAGCTCCTCCTTCTGCAGAACCGTTCAATAGGACATGTATCACTCCAGAACTGTGCTGTGCATACTGCAAAACATAACCATTTTTTTTCAGAACTAATCTTACAGACTGTACATATGATTTGGTATTGCACTGCATGCAACGATGGCCAGGGAGAGAATTTTAGCAATGAGGATGTCCGAATTGTGAAACTAGTAACAAGCTCACACCTTAGACGCTTGTCGCAGTACACGGGACAAAAAGTAAATGGCCTTTTTTAAATTCAGTGTATCATCTTGGACTTGCTCTGTGAATAGAGGGTTTTTACCATGGCTGTCAAATGTTTTAAGTACTCAGATCACTTAGAATCTGTCTTAGAAAATTATGGAGCTTAGCATGCTTAATATAAGCATGATATATGTCATCAAACATAGAATTCAAATGCATTAACCAGATAAAGTGAAAGTTAGGTTTCCCTTGCAAAAGGGGAGTTTTGTCTAGAAAAGCATGTCTGTACCCAAGGATATAATCTAATGTACTTATGGCCTTAAATTTCTTTTGATACAGCTTTTATTTTATTTTTTAAGCACCAAGGAATTAATGTACATTAATGTGCAAGATATGTATTAGTGCACTATTTACTGTGATTGAGGCCATCCGCCAGAAAGAATCCACTGCATTGTTTTCACATTCTTCTGTGGTAGGGCAGGAATCATAGTCCAGTCCTGCAGGAAAACATGTGATAGGTACATGATAAGAGTTGTATAATGTGACCTTAGAAAGCAATTATTTATATTCCAGAGTTACTCACTGAACATGCAAAATGGTCTGAAATAACACAGAAATGTGACAGTTGTATCCTTTCTATCATTTACCAGCCGTTGCAGTTTATATAGTGACATGATGTAGATTGAATAATTTGGCTGAAATGGTGCTAGCTGTATCTGGGACACAAACACAGTTTCAGAGGACCAAGAAGGAGGCTTATCTCTGGGCAGTGCTGTTTAGGTTTTACTCTGTGCCTTCTCACTGCAACGTTAAATATTCACACAGAATAGGAGCAAATTAGGCAGTGAGGCTATCTCTGATTTCTTATGGGGTAAGGGCAGAATTAGCTCCTCCAGAACACAGCAGTCAGCATCTGTTATGTTTTCACAGATATTTAATGTATTAGTCATTGTCTTACCAGGGCTGGTTGCCTGCCCACACCAGTTCAGTAAATCTGCAAAGAAGCCAAACAGAGTATCACCCAGGGCCGTGTAGCGACGAGTTCTACCAGAAAAGCTATTGACTAGCAGTTGATTATTTTCCCAGAAGAGAGACTAAACAAATAAAGAAAAACAAAATAGAGAAGAAACAAACCATCACTTGGGTGTGAACACAATGAGATTATAGGGTGCTGAAAACATTTTAAAACATGCTTTGTTATTTCTTTAAAAACAAACCATATAAATAAGCAGAAATGCTATGTATCTCTTTGTAAGAATAAAGTTTGTTCTTACAGTGGGGTAAATTGTGATCAATAGAGGTTTGAGGAGCATTCTCACTATGGTGGGAATGGATGTAGACCTATACGAAATATAATTAGGCCCAGATTTATCTTGTTGAACACTCAGATTTAGAAAAAAGGAGAAAAAAAAAGACATATTTATAAGTCAGATGTATCTTCCAAAATTCTCTCACACTGCTGTGGTGGCTCATGCTGTGAAAAAAGGATCATGTTATCTACCTTTTACTCCGATGTTTACAAAAGCCTTCCATGAATGAAGCTCTGTTGACGGGAGAATTTGTTGGTTTAGCTAGTAGTATTTAGATAATTGCACACCTTTTAAGAATAAACTTTCAGACAAGGCTAAAGCATACACTGATGTACACTGCATACTATGACAGAAAAAGTAGCGCTTTTTTTTTTTTTTTGCAGTTTCATTCCTCTGCAATTGCCAGAGACTGGTATCGAATACTCCTGTTTCGTAGCATAGAACAACACCATACCTCATTTCTGCTTATGCTTCTGCAGTGTAACATGTTGACTTCGCATTTGAGGAGAGGAAGGAAAAGAAGGAGGCAGTTTTTTCAAGCAGAGCACTTCAGGAAAAACGACAGTGGAAGTTTAGGGACTTGAGCAGAGCTCCAACACGGAAGGAAAATGTGTGGGCCTTCGTCATGTGGAAAGGAAGGCACAGAGATAAGGAAGGCACAGAGCAAGAGTGTATCCATGGGGCTTTTCCTGCACATGCAGAGAAGAAGAACGAAGGAGCAAAGGGCCTGCAGAGCCCCTGGGGACAGAAGAGCTACGGGCAGCAGGACTCCTGCGTGGAGGAAGGAGTGCAAAGGTAGCACAGAGGGACACACGTGCCTGGCTGGCTGCTGTGCAAGGTCTCCAAAGCAGGTGCCAGGAACACTGTGAATCACTCACTGCTTTCCCCCACAGTTTACTAATTTTTCTGAAGAAAAAAAAAAGAAAAATGCCCTCAAGCTTAAGCTTTATTTGTAAACCTGATATGGGCCAAAAATAGTAAATCATCAGTGAGCCACAGAGTGACTTTTTGTCAATTTTGAACTACTATGTCTTAGAAAAGTCAGGGAATATCACAGGGCCATTAACATAACAGAAATAATCAGTACCTTATTAGGTGGAATTGTGTGCAGTGACAGGTTAATAAATAATTCATAGTCTGTAGGTAGAATGTTGCAAGGATCCTTCTTAATAAAAGCGTTTTTAAAGGCTTCCCATAGCTCTGAACAATTCTTCTCCCTGTAACCATTGAAACAAACAAATGGGTTTACAAAAGCAGAGCAAGGAAGTGATTTGTTTCCAGTATCCTTCAAGTCCCAAATTAAAATCCCCATAAGGTTAAGGCATGAAATTAAAGCCAGGCTGTCAGAAACTTCACAACCCATGAAGAGCATACGGGATTTTACTTTTTCTTACTCCTTACAGCAGTACCTATCCACATACAATAGCAAGAACTAGAAATGAAACTATTAGGATTTACACTGTGGAATTAGAAATATGTAGCAATCCATCAGAAGTCTCAGAAGGTACAGTATTTGTAGCAAGATTTGCTGCCCAGAATTCTAGAAATATTAAAAAAATTTCCAGGTTATAAATTTCTGTGATCTAAAAATTCATTTCAATTAAATATGACTAAACAGTCAAAGGTTTTGGAATGCAAAATAATTTTATTATTAAAATCTCAGATTCAAGAGCAAGAGGAGTTATTAAAAATTACAGTAGAATAATGGTACTTAAAGAAGCATCTCCAGAACAAGCAGGCCTTAGCACCATGATAGTGTGGGAGATGTGCTCTTGCAGGGCAGGAGCTATTAGGTGTCAACACTTAAACTGCTCATGAAAGGGGGGCTTGAAATAAGAAGGAAGGCTGTCCACTAAGGAGGGTCAAATAGCTCCCTTCTGCTGGCTCTGCTTTGGGGGAAATAATGTCCTGTAGAAAGCCAGGGCAAGCCATTTGGGTAAGAAGTGTCTTAAACCTCTGTATTTGCAGCTCATCTGTCAAAGCTCTGAGCCTGCCTGGAGTAATTAAGAAGTGAGTTGCTGCTTTCACCACTTTCCCACAGTAACTTCCCCACAAACGCTGTGACAATATCTGCACTGGGAGCACTCTGCAGAACAGAATAAGGTGTTTTATGTGTATAAAGCATCGCTAATGTGAACAGCTGTAATTGCAGAGCTGCACCTTGAGCAATAGTTTTTCCTGTAAGTAAACCAGCTTTTCCATTTGAGTGCTCTGCTCCTATGTCATTCGTATTCAGCAGGTTTTCTGTGGGTGCTTCTCCTCATGACACTCCTTAAAGAGCTCCTTTGACGTGCTGAGTGACAGAGATTCTGTAAAGGACCCTTTAGGATGAGTTCAGTAACACTCATGCATGAGACAGACCACAGAATTTCTCACAGCAATCTCTGATCAAGTCTCCGATAGATACTTACCAACATAGTTAAAAAAAAAAAAAAAAAAAAGGAAAAAAAAACCTTTGGTCTCGAAATCCTCAGTGATGCAGTGTGACCCTTGATCAGTGGTTCCAATGTTCAAATACCCTGATTTGCTACGAGGATTTGCACCTGATTTCTAATTTGACCATAAAACTACAGCTTTTGACCACTGGACATATTTATGTCTCTTTCTGCTAATGAAGTGTCTGCTGCAAGCACTCACTTTTCATGTTGATACTTGTGAGTTATGATCAAGTGAACTCCTAACATCTTCCTTGACAGCTGAATCCAGCGGTAATTGTCTGGTTAATTGACTGCCTTTTTTCATTCACGTCTTTTCATCTCATGTTTGAACAGCTTGCAAACCAAAAGGATTATTCTGCTCTGTTACTCGAAATATCTTAGCTGGCAAAAATACTTTTGAAACCACAGGGTGGGGAAGGACTGTAGTTTAGGACAATTTCTTCTCATGTTAATAGATATCAGTAAGTCATATCAGATTTATTTCACACTATTCAGTTTTAAAAAATACATTTTGAAAACTTACATTCTAACTCACCAACAAAGAAATAAGAGGGAAAAGCATTATAGCAGTGTTTATGTTTGCATAATATAGCACACTTGTATTATAAAATTACAGACACAATTTTCATTCAAATCTCTCACTTTTATATGACCGACCATAATGTTTTCTAAAATATTTTATTGCAATTTCTGATGTTTGGTCTAAATGTAAAGGGTATTTCTAATGTTCTAGATGTCCTAATGTTTCTATAGTTATTTTTATATTTATTATTTATATTTATTATTTTTATAAATATTTGTATCTATGCCAAAAGGCAATGATGTGCTCTTCTACCTTCTTTTCTGTTAATAAAATATATTCTTTCAGTACATAAATTCACAAGCAAAACCTATCCAGGTGGCTGTGTCTCTAATGTTTAGCTTGGGGGCAACTAGGAAATAGACAATGAACAGAAAGATTTACACAAAACTAGAGTATCTGTTTTGCACCTGTGTGATACGAAATTCCATTTTGTTTAGATTACAGCACTTGCTGATAGACATAAGGGAAAGAAAAAAACACATAACATGAAATGCTTTGGGCAGCTGTTCTTTTATAATGCCATTTTGGCCCTTTAATTCAGGAAAGCAATGCTTTGCTTCACACTATTCTGAGGTTTTGACGAATGTCTTCAGATTTTTCAATTTTAAAATTATGCTGTTAAGTAACAGAAATTAGATGACAGGGCTTTTGTAAACATGAGATATGAAACACTTTCAATGGTATTATGCTTATGTCTTAAGAAGTCCAAATCAGTAAATGATAAAGTTAACATTTCCGCAATAGCCATCCTTTATGCTGTACATTTTAGAATATTTTGGATTAGTTATGTTCTGCTTCAAATATGAATAGAATTACATCCATTCACTGCAATGATAATTCTGTCTATCTATATCACACTGCAAGATCAGACAAACTGGAATTTCTTAAGTTTTAATAGTTTATATTGTAGGTCTGTCATAATCTGTAGCTAAAGTCTTCTTCCACTGTGAAGCTTTTAAATTTGCCGAGTTTGAAGTGTTTAGCTAAAATTTCAATAACATGTGTTTCTCTGAGGATGACTTTCCCCTTTTTTTTTTCCTTTGATTTTGTGTCCTTCCTGCTTTGCAGCAGAAATTGAAACTGGGAGGTTGGGGCAAGGAGGTGATGCTTGTTACTGTATTATGTAAAAGGCTCTGAGGTTGTTTAAGGCTACCATCCTGTGCTGCAAAAAACAGGCTAGGTTCCCTCTGCAAATACCGCTTAAAGCTACCGTGAAAAGTTTTGATGCCAGGATAAAGGACTGAAATTCAAGAATTTCTTCTTGCTACTCACTTATTTACCAAAGACCAAACAATGCAAGAAAGGTGAAAAACAAGGTCACTTTGTACCAAAGTGCATGAGTTGCTGCCCAGTACTAATCAAAACAGACTGAAAACCTGCAGCAACTACTTCAGCAACGCCTGCTTTGTGAAGGGCACGAGTTAAACAGGACCTTTCAGGAGCACAGGACAGCAATGAAATATGGTCCCCTTAAGTGACTCGACAAAGTTAAACTGGTCTTCCCAAGACCAACTGAACTTACTGTACATGTGTAGTAAATTTGATACACTAAAAATACCACTCCCCACAATTTTTGAGCACTGTTTTCCCTGTAGAACGCTGTAATAACAGGGGAAGAATATGAAATGTATAAGTCAAAGCAATAAAAGTTTTGCCTTATTTATACTGCTGTTAGCATTATTACATTTATCTTTTTGTTGTTGCTGTTCCTAGATAG